AAGGAAGGAAGGAAGGAAGGAAGGAAGGAAGGAAGGAAGGAAGGAAGGAAGGAAGGAAGGAAGGAAGGAAGGAAGGAAGGAAGGAAGGAAGGAAGAGAATTTTATCTTCCTTTAAGTGTTGTGTGGGTTTGGCTGCTGCCCTAGTGTTTTTCTACTGCAAAAAAAAAAAAAAATGCAGCGTAGACAAAACTTCATTTTGGTGAACATCGCATCTTATGTGCTGGCCACTCCTTGTAAACAACCATCTTGACTGAGGTCGACCCACACTTGTTTTCTGTAACCTTGGCACTCTGCTGAGGTACCAAAGCACCTCAGCTTTGGCACCAGCCAAGCATCCCTTCCTGCCCACTCCACCGCACTTCCCTGCACATCTTCAGGCGCCTGATAATTCCCTCTCATGGGTACACCTTTCTGGAGGCGCTTGACTCGCAAGAATTTTCCTTCCAGGAAATAGTTACCTTGTTCACAAGTTACCCACACATACATACGCTCCTGAGAAAAAGGCTTTCTTGGTTTAATAGGCACTTTCTGTGTGTGGGAAAGCTGTGGGAGACAGGTTTTTCCTCCTGCCAATGTTAGAAGCTTGGTTATTCATTTGAGACGTGGGCTGCTAAGTGGATACTTGAGCGTATCCACTTGAGCAGATTGAGAGTGGTGCTCTCGGAGATCCTTGCCTGTACCCGAGAGATCGGCACAAACACACCGTGCTGGTTCATCGCTGTGTTGGCCAGCTTGCCCTGGTGATACCTAAGTTGAAACTAATGGCTGCTGTAGGTTCAATTAAATTTTGTGAGATGGGGACTATGACATGAATGGCTTGAAATGAGACCTGTACTGCATATGGAAATCATTTCTAGAATATAATTTCCACTCAACCTGAATGAGGAGAATATACTTCAATGAAAAGAGTATCTTGCCTTGACTTTAATCCTCTTCAAAGTCCTTGTTCATCCACCACCTTAGGTAATGAAGTGAGGGTTATGTTTTACAGATGACCCCTGTGCTTTTGAGTGAAGGGCGAACAGTGAGAATTAGCAGCAAGATCTCAGTGACCGTTTCCCTGGTACTAGTTGAAGTCCCATAAAATCATAATTACATTAAAAAGTTTGGGCATTTAATGCGCATTTCCTGCTCCACGGCTCCTGAGGGGAAGGAGCGCCAGGAGGGAGGTGAGACGGCGCGCAGCTTCCAGCAAGGCCTGGTGGCACGGCTTTCATACTACACTTGTTGTGGCGGGGCAAACATGACAGTGCTTAATCATTACACTGGTGGTTAGATGCCAGTGAGCGCTTCCCAAAGGTGCTCCATGCGTGACTTGGGGACTGAAGGAGCTGGCGGGTTCTCTGCTGAAAGATGGCATGTGAGGGAGAAATATGACCAAACCCAGGCTTATTTGAAAATGCCTACGATGACCTTTGCTCATCTGGAGGCTTGAGTGATGACTCCCAGCACCTTTGTGCCTACCCCACTCTAGCCCAGGCTTTAGCCATCCTCATATGGTGGTGGCATGGGGTCATCATCCAAAGGCAGGTTTGCAGAGAAGTCATTTCATAGAATCATAGAATCATAGAATGCCGAAGGTTGGAAGGGACCTCAGAGGTCATCGAGTCCAACCCCCCTGCACACGCAGGGTCACCTAGAGCACGTGGCACAGGGCTGCATCCAAGCGGGTTTTAAAGATCTCCAAAGAAGGAGACTCCACAACCTCTCTGGGCAACCTGTTCCAGTGCTTTGTCACCCTCACAGTGAAGAAATGCTTCCTTAAGTTCCTGTGGAACTTCCGATGCTTCAGTTTGAAGCCATTTCCTCTAGTCCTATCACTGTCCACCACTGAAAAGAGGCCGCCCCCTCCTCCTCACTGCCTCCCTTGAGGTATTTATACACGCTGATCAGGTCCCCCCTCAGCCTCCTCTTCTCCAGGCTGAACAGACCCAGCTCTCTCAGCCTTTGTTCATATGGTAGATGTTCCAGGCCCCTGATCATCCTGGTAGCCCTGCGCTGGACTCTCTCCAGCAGCTCCACATCCCTCTTGTACTGGGGAGCCCAGAACTGGACGCAGTACTCCAGATGTGGCCTCACCAGGGCTGAGTAGAGGGGGATGATCACTTCCCTCGACCTGCTGGAGACGCTTTTCTTAATGCACCCCAGGATCCCGTTGGCCTTCTTGGCCACCAGGGCACACTGCTGCCTCATGGTCAACTTGTCGTCCACCATGACACCCAGGTCCCTCTCTGCGGGGCTGCTCTCCAGCAGGTCCACCCCTAATCTGTACTGGTGTCCAGGGTTATTCCTCCCCAAGTGCAGGACCCTGCGCTTGCCCCTGTTGAACTTCATGAGGTTTCTCACCGCCCAGTCCTCCAGTCTGTCCAGGTCCCTCTGGATGGCAGCACAGCCCTCATTTCTGTGATCTTGAATTGGTCCCTGCCCACTGAAATCCTTACACGTGCACATAGGTGACAAAGTAAACGATTCTGCCCCATTTTGTGGAACTACTTACTTGATCAGACAGAATACATAAGTACAGGGTCTGCATCAGGTCTAGAAAAGTAAATGAGATACTGGCTGTTATGTCATTGCAGAGCACACGCAATTTATTTTCCACGGGTAGTTGGATCTGGACAAATAGTAAAAACAATTATTTGCGAATATTTCATTTAAATGAATATCACAGATTCATCAAATAAATAATTCAGCTTCCATTTGCCCAGCCCTGCCAGTGGTAGGGAAGAGCTTCCTTCACACGCCGCAGCCGGCGCCTGCTCGGCGGGAATTGCGCTGGCAGCCGGCCGCAAGGAGCAGCCGGCACGATGCCTGCAGCCGCCTCCGGGAGCCCTCGAGGCCCCCGGCCGAGGTGAGAGCCCGAGCACTGGTGCTGCCCTGGCCCCCGCCAGGCCTCACAGGATCACAGCATGGTTGAGGTTGGAAGGGACCTCTAGAGACCATCTAGTCCAACCTTCCTGCTCCAGCAGGGACACCCAGAGCACGGGGCACAGGGCGGCATCCAGGAGGCTTTGGAAGATCTCCAGGGGAGACTCCACAGCCTCCCTGGGCAGCCTGTTCCAGGGCTCTGTCACCCCCACAGTAAAGAAGTTCTTCCTCGTACGGAGATGGAACTTCCTGTGTTTCAGCTTACACCCATTGCCTGTCACTGGCCACCACACCAACCTCATGCAGCTCCAGGATCAAGTGGAGACCGACCCCGAGGTTTTTCAGGTCGGAACTTGGAGCCAAACTCAGCAGGTTTTCACAAACATGTTCAGTGGTTGCCACCTTCATGGATGCCTCTTCTTTTTTGGTTTCAGGTGAGAGTCTATGACCTTCTGCAGTATGAGCATGGGCCAGATGATGTTCTCATCCTAGCTACTGATGGACTCTGGGATGTGCTGTTAAATGAAGAAGTGGCAGAAGCTGTCACTAATTTTCTACCAAACTGTGACCCTGATGATCCCCACAGGTTTGTGCTTTTCCTTGATGTTTCTAGCTCTCTGTGCAAGTGAGAGTGCTTTTTGATAATGTATTTTTGTAGAAGGAACTATGTCAAGAAAAACACTCAGTAAATAGACAGCACTTAGGCAAAGATGTTTTTATGACTTGGATGAAGCCTCTAAAGAAAGAGTTGCTATGTTTTCTATCAGGATTGCGCACCCGATACAAGGAAAGGTGGGTGTCACAGCATCTCAGCATGGGATCTATTTTCTTTGCTCCACAAGGTCACGTGGAAACTGTAGGAGGATGAAGTCTTGAAAGAACGTGGCAGCAGGTCTCTTTCTCCAGCAGTCACTGGTTTCTACTTAATTCTCCTCTGGAAGGTCATTTTACACTAAAGATTTTTTTCTTTCTAGGTTATTACCAGCACATCTCTCTCTCTGTGTATGTGTGTATATGCACTACACAGCGTGGTCCCCACACATTTCTGATCATGCTGCAACCTTTAAACCCATCTTCAGAAGTGAGTGCCTGGTGTCTAGCAGCAACAGGACAGATTCAGTGACAAATGAGATGGAAGGTTTGGTGGTATTTTACCCACAGATTAGATGGGAAGTTTATTTCTGTTTCATTTAGTTTGATTCTATTTCATTCCATAGCTGTATCCTAAGTAATTATCATCATTCCCCTCTCTTTAGTTCTTCTTACTTGGGAAGAGTTTTCCTCTTTTGTTGAGTGAACAAAAGTTCCCCAACAACTAAATAGAGCAGTGTCTTTCTTGGTTGAGAAGATCACCCTGCCCACTTCTGTGTTTCCTGTCCCTGTGCTTAAACCATTACACTAGAGATCTGTAGGCCCTTGCTTGTAAAAGGGAGGGCTGTGGAAGTGGAAACAGTGTCATCCTTCTCCAGAGACTTCTTTGGAAGGCCACGTGCCTGCTGCTCCTGAGCGCAGGCTCCTTTGCTGGGAGCAGAGAAAGGAGCTCTCCGGGCAGCCCCAGTTGGCCTGGGAGGGCAGAAACAAACCCTGGGGCCCCTCAGCAGCCAAGTGAACGCTCTCAGGGCTGTGGGAGAGCTCGAGCTACCCTGCTCAGATGGGGTAGCTCTTGAGGGTGAGAGGGAAACAAGTCCCCAAGTGCTTCAGCGTTTAATGTTTGTAAGTGGCTCTTTTCTTGGAGTCAGTCCCATTCGCCATCAGCAAGGAAGAAAGATAACGGCAGGGAAAGGGCCGGTGACGGCCACTCCAAAGTGAATTGCAAGCAGTATTTTCTTATCCTGGCACGGAGAAACATTTTGCTCAAGTGCCTCATTGTCAGGTGAATAGAGGGCTAGTGTGAAGCTGGAACTGCAGCTCTTTGACCTTCCTTATCTCCTCGCACTGCAGAGGACACGTGGTGTAACTGACAGCAGGGACTATCTCTCCTTCAGCAAGACGTGGAAGTTTCTCTGCCTCCTCCCTGGGACGAGGTCAGACGTGGTCGGTGAGGGCCATTTCCTGGGCATCTCTCCACTGTATGATGTCTTTATGCCATTAAATTAGGGTGGCCGTAACCCACACCATCTGCTTTCCCATGAAAATGCTCTACATTTCATGGGTTATTCAACATTTTGATCTGAATAGGTTTTGTTCTGACTTCTGCACCCCTGAATCTCTTATTGCAAAGGTACCTGTTGAAATCCACTATCTTTATCCTGTCTCCATTCTAACCTAAGAGTTGGGAAAGGTTCCCAACTCCCATCTGCCCTCCCACCTGTCTTACCTGTCAGGTACTAATGCCATCCGAGTGCACTTGTCCATCGAGTTACAGCAATAGCCACACACCCCTTCTCCCATAGCCCCCATGGAGCAAGTAGCCATCAAAAGAGTTTTGACCGTTGGGTCATCCCAAAGTTGGTAATAACCAACACATCTGTTGTAGTAGGATGGGAGTTCTTTCTGCTTGTAAGTGATTTCTATGAATATTTTACGATGGGCAAAAAAAAAATAAGACACTAAAGAACAGTTTGTGTTTGCTTTAGATTTATTTTTGCTGTTTTACTGTCTAATTCCCCAGTAACTGTGGAGGATTAGGCCCTCTTTGTACCAGTCCAGAATTGGTACTGCTGAAGGATGAGCTAGAACAAACACGTTTATTAGTGTTTGACCTAGTGGTCTAAGAATGGACATCTGAATTGGAAATTAATTTGTTATTTTGAGTAACTTTGTGCCAGGTCATTTAGAGACTTACAAATAGTGTTGGCAAGATATTTCTGATGCCAGCTTGCAAGAGGTAATTAGAACAGTCTCTTGTGCAGTTTGCAATGATATTTATGAAAATTACCTTTGTGGAATTGCTCTTACTACTTCGTTATAAAGAACATTTAAAGGGTTTAAAGTACTGTGTGAAAGGTTTTACGTAATTGCTACACGTAATTGCTTCACAGTGGATCAAATGAGGTATAACTAATGAATTTACAGCAGCAGAGCAGCTCAGATTGCGGAGCAGGGTTCATTCCTTTCACTAGCTGGTGACAGGAAAGATCTTATTTGCAATATTAGCAGTGTGTTATGTTTAAAGGAAATGTTATCCCACAAAACGTCAATTTCCATGATGGGTGTGGTGACATATGTTGGGGAGATGATTCACTGGAAACATGGAATTTCTAGGGATGTAGAAAAAATGACGGAGGTAAGAGACTTGCCCGCTGGGTTTGGTAATGTGTTCTTCTGAAGAACTTACCTGTTGCAGCAGATCGTGGATCCATCTCACAAAATAACCTCCTTATACCCTGACAGCAGTATGTATTAAAAAAAAAAAAAAAAAAAGAGAAAGATTTGGGATATTTTAGCCTGCAGAGTAATTAGTTATTATGCTAGGTGATTAACTCTTTGAGGGAGAAATATGTCACTTCTTTGTCTGAGGAGTCATTTTGTAGTGTGATGGACACGATCTTAGAGGCCTCTGAAAGCTCTTGGGACTCTTTCCTATTGCTGTTTCCCATCAGGACTAGGAGTGTTTGTTACCCACAGAAATCCTGGAATCCTGTCCTGTGTAGCATGAGCCCGGGCATCTCCAAGGGCAGGAGAGCAAAGTCAGGACTGTTTCACCCAGCCCTGCAGAGCCATCCCGGGGGATTCAGGCAATGGTTGGTGAGAGCAGCTCAGCTCTGCACTGGGAGGGGATGTTACGTGGCTGCTGCCTTCGCCCGATCCTTTTCTGTAGCTTCAACGTGCCATTTTTCACATTTTTGGGTGTATTTCACATTCCGTCTACGCAGAAATGTCTGCTTTATTAAAGACTTTTCTTTTTTTAACGTTATCCTCTGCAAACACTAAGCAGCAAAGCCTTTACACAATAAAGGGCAATAGTTTTTCCTTTCCACTCTTCAGATGTGGGGAGCCATTCTTAATTGGAAAAAGGAGGAAGGGAAATTTTCTCTTTTCCCAGAATAATGGGTGATTTCTTCTCTTAAATTCTGACAATAGCTGAGAAAACCTTGAGGGAAAAAAAAAAAAAAAAAAAAAGATTTTCTTAGCCAAAATTCTCTCAGCATCAGACATGCTGTGAATAAATATTCTGGTTGCTTGCCTCCTTTGTGGGGTCCTTCTGTTCTTTAGCCCAGCATCTGATTTGGGGATTTGGAAAATGAAGGATGCAAGTGTGTCTGCATTTATATTTGCAGGTTCTTCCTCACTTACAAAATAGAATCTCATCCTGTATTTTAGGACAGTACAGTTAGTGTATCTTGTTACCTCCTGCTCTTACACCTCAAGGGCTATGGGACTAAGCAGCTGTGCAGAGGGTGTGCAGCCGTGTGCCCATGTTCATGCCTTGCCTGGTGCAAATGGACCCTTGGGCCCTTCTCTTATCCAAACTTCTGGATTTGAACAATCTTGGGTACTCAATAAACCCCTTTTCTTCTCTACTTCTCATCAGTGGGCTTAGACTGTCCTGCCTTCTTAGATCTGGACAGACCATTTCTGACTAGAGAGTTTCCCCTAGAAAAGAGAGTCCCAAAATGCACAGCCTACATGTCCTTCTTGGCTTCTGTTAGTTACCAAGGGGAACTTGCCTTCTCTTTGCTTGTGCGGTTCGCTTTTTAGAGCCCTGCATCACTGTAGAGATTGATGTTTAAGCTTCAGATAAAGCACAGGCAGGCACAATATTTTTCCTTGTGAATCTTTTAAATGTTAATTTTTAATTGGTAAATTATAGAAAGGTTTGCCTCCACCCAACCAAATTCAGAAGAACTCAGCCAGGTGTTGAACTGATGAGGAAAAAAACGCTTGGTAGGAGTCAGTTATCCATAACGAGGCAGTTCTTTCTCTGAGGATATTTCTAGATTTGTGCTGATATAGCAGGCACAGGAAAAACAATAAGGGAGAACATTTTTGGTCAATACTGCATTAGGATCGGAAGGATTTTTGAATAAGGTCTCATGTAGAGGTAGTCCGGCTTGCAAAGCCCCACTCAGGGCAGAGCACACTCTGCGCCAGCCCGCGACTCCGACACCCTTGCCCCATCCAGCCCCGTGTGCAGTTCCTCAGGACAGAAAATGACTCTTACAAACACAGTGCCCTCCAGCCTCCGACGTTGGGGAGTTTTGGAGCATCATGAAACTACTGGTGAGTATTTCATTAAATTAAGCACTTGACAACACACATTCAGAGCATTTCTGTTGAACCCATAGATGTGAAAAGACTGTGGACTTTGTTAATCTGACTATATTTCATTTTCCAGTTTCTTACACTCAAGGAAAACAGGCAGTGTACCCACCCGGTGAAAAATGCAGCTTGGATTTGATTTTTAGCTTTATCCGTTGTTCTCAAATCATTTCCTTTGCAGTGGCTTGTCTCTGCAATGAGCAGAGCCGTGTTTCTTTTCATTCAGGAGGTGTTTTGCTGCACGAAGGTCTCGTTTTCTAAAGCAAGCCGTTTTATTCTGGGTTCTCTGGGGTGGGGGCGGGTGGTTTATGTGGTGGGTTTTCCTTTTTTCCCCCCAGATTTTTATTTCCCCAGATAGCTTAGCTGGCTGAGGGGTAGCGCTCTGTGGGAGCTGCTGTTCGCTGAGGCGGGGCTGTGGCCGCGCTGGCCTCCCCCGCAGCGGCACCGCTGCCACTGTTGGCGGCACTGAGGCCGTTGGCCGCGCCGAGGCCATTGGCGACGCCAAGGCTGTTGGCCATGCCGAGGCTGCTGGGGGCACCGAGGCCGTTGGCGGCACTGAGGCCGTGGCAACGCCGAGGCCATTGGCGACGCCGAGGCTGTTAGCGGCACTGAGGCCGTGGCGGCGCTGAGGCCGTTGGCGGCGCTGAGGCGGCGGCCAGGGCGGGGGGAGCGCGCGCCGCCTCACGGCGCTCTGCCCTCGCGCAGGTACACGCTGGCGGCGCAGGAGCTGGTGATGCGCGCCCGCGGCGTGCTCAAGGACCGCGGCTGGAGGATTTCCAACGACAGGCTGGGCTCCGGAGACGACATCTCTGTCTATGTCATCCCTCTCATACACGGCAACAAGCAGTCCTGAAAGCGGCCTCGCCAGTGCTTACGGGAGGGGCGGCGTTTCGGGAAGGGCCTCTGAGAGACAGTGTGTGGGTGACAGCCTGGCCAGGACTTTCCCAATCGATGTATCTTAATCTAAACTAATGCTGGAGGGGTATTTTTTCTGCCCGAAAAGTGGGCTCCGCACATATACTGTATATGACTAAAGATATCTCTTATGATTACAGTTCCCCTATAGAAATGGTTTTGGTGCTTAACAGGAACGGGATTTATATGCTGCTAGTGTGTTACGGATTCTGTGGTCCCGCCAGGTGAAGACCTGAAGCAGAAGTTAATATTTTTCAGTTTACCATGTAGCTTGGAAGAGCCATTTTAGTTGTGGAAGTAGAAATGGGTATCAGAAGCCAAGGAGACTCCTGAAATCCACCCTCAAATATTCAGAGCAGCGACTCAGGCCACATCTCATTTAGAAAAGTACATATATATATTTATATATATATATACACACACAAACACACACTCATATATATATAAGATAGATACTCCATTTTTTTTCTTTAAAAAGTTGTTTTCATGACTTATCTGTGGACAATTTCAAACTTGTGTAATCCCTTGAATTCCCATTTCTCCCTCTTGTTTTTCCTTCAGTAGCACTCTGGGACTCCATACTCCTGTATTCTACATGTTTTAGTGGGAAAACTGAAATTGTTTTCAGTGGAACTATGTCTGTTCTGCTGCAGCTAACACAGCCATCCGCAAATTTGTCCAGGAGATCAGATCCCAGTTTTGTACAGAAAGATTTCTTCTGGGATCAGGAATTATTTGTCAGGGTTCCCTGTTGCCTGAACACGGTGATTATACAGAGCGAGCAAGCCCCGCTCTGTGCGGTGTTTACCTGGGAGCCGCAGTTTCTTTGGGATCAGGGATTTTCATTCATTGGATGGCTCTGTCTGCTTTATCCTGTTGAAAGGATCCCTGAACACAGAGCCTGTCCATCAGCTGGGATTCAGTAAATTGCTTGGGCTCCTGAGTGTGTTTTCAGTCGAGTTACTACTTGAAGTGATGGTTTGTTCTGGTTATGGGCTAGTTTGGATAGCCAGAGAGCGATCTATTTAAGAAAATCATTTCTCTTCTCCCTGCCTCACCTGCCACTCGGTGTACCCTGCCTACTTGGCTTGTGATCAGAAGTTAAAGAAGTTATCAAGAAGTCCTTTTGATACTGAAGACATCAGAAGATCTCTGTGACAGCTAACCCGCCTTGGCTCACTTCATCAGCCCTTGCTTAGCACTGCTTAATGAATTTAAACGACAGAAAATCTGAGTAAAGCTTTATCAGAGTAAAAGCAGCAGTCCAAGAGGAAACCAGCTGAGCCAAGTTACATATTGGGGGGCAGGTGGCGCTTCGCTTCACGGGCAGGGTTAGAGGGGAATCGGGCGGCTCTCGTGTACACACAGGTGTGTGACTGGGGAGCCACGATCAGCCGGAGTTGCCCCCAGAGCTCGTCCTGCCGGAGCTGCTAACCCCGCTTGGATGAAAGCTTCACGGGCAGCCAAAGCCCAGGCGCTGACCCAGCACCCAGTGGGCGTCTCGTGGGGGCAGCGGCTCCCCAGCGTGTTGGGTGTAGCCGACAAGACGTTTCATTCCAACACGTCCCGAGTTCCCGTTCAGCAGCCACAGGGAATCTGAAGTTCCCTTTCTCTAAATGGGAGGCCGGGTAGGAGCTGCAGCCGGCAGGGGGGCAGAGCAGAGTGGGGGCAGCTCAAACGTGCAGCAAGCTGCGTGACTTGGGCCTGAAGGCCCTTCCAGAGGCTGCCCGCGAGGCAGCCGGGTGCAGGATGGGAGCGTTCCGTGCCCTAGAGCTTCCGCATAAACCAGTGGCGTGTCTGGGTCTGGATGACCACGCTTCGTCTTTCCTTATCTTTGTGGGTTTTTTTTTTTCCTCCTTTCCCTTTACTTCTCTTTCTGTGTGCAGCTCAGTGAAAACAGATCCGCAGGCTTGAAGTCTAAAACATTTTTCTCATGGCCCCTCATATGTTTTGGAGCTTGGGCAAGAGACCTTTCTCTTGCACTTTTTTTTTTTGGCCTAATAAACTTCTAAAACTGCTTTTCATCGTCTCTGTAACTCCTGTTGTGTCTTTGCAATGCAGTTGTGCAGTCCTAAGTGATCAGACCCCGTTTAGCGAATGGCTCCTGCTGACAATCCCTGCCGAGCGCCGTGGCCGCAAGGGAAGCCGGGGCGGGCGCTTAGCGGCCGCAGCCCCAGCCCGGCCTTTCGCAGCCCAGTGCGTCAGTCGTCGCTCGTGAGGCACCTCTTAGCACACCCGCGGCTGTCGTAAAAAGCCACCAAGTACAACGTGGTGGAAATTAATTCCAGTGTAACATTCACCAAAATACGAAACCAAAGGCAAAGGAAGATGGGTCTGCTCATTCAGTTGTGTCTTTAAATGCGCCCCTAGGGAGGTGCTTTAGAGAGTGGCCAGCTCTGTGGGAACAGGTGAGGTGCCGGAGCAGTCGGGCGGCACTGGGCTGCTTTCCCACCCTGGCTCTGGGAGTGCGGCGCTGCCGCTGGGCAGTGCTGCTCTGCACTGGCAGCGCCCGGCACAGCGGCGTCGGCCACGAGCCCTTCCCTGGAGAGGGCTGACGGGCAGGAGCGAGGAGACACCCTGGGCCTGAATGGGACTGATGTTCAGCTTGCGTGAACTCCACGCCCTAATTAATATATTAATATATTAATATATTAATATATTAATATATTCTCAGAATATTCAAGAGTAATATGAAGCTTCCTAGGCAGGTGTAGGTGGCTGCAGTTACGGGCTGTGCTTTGCCCTGCTTTCCCTCCTGTCTGTTATACTTGCACACATTTGTGCGGTGTAAATACAGACATGGAAACACAGCGTACAGGGCACGGCAGCTGTTCATTGGGAAGGTGCTGCCTGTGAAGCGAGGATGACTGAAAATGTTTCCATCCCACTTTCCAAGCTGATGATTTAGGAGTCACAGCATCTCTGAGGGCGGGAGGGAGGATGTGCTGGCCCCACGCTGTTCTTCAGCAGTGCGTGGATTGGGCCATGCCCAGACCTGCCACTGCTCTCAGCCTCCATGACACTCCTAAGCCCCACTCAGGACAGACAGATAGGCTGCAAAGTCAAGCCCAAACATGATACCCCCAACGCACCATCTTGGTTAGTGCCCAGTGCTGGCGGCGCAACGGCTTTGCTCGTGGAGCTCCCTTGGTAGCCCAGGTGGCACAGGCTGGCCACAAGGAGCCTTGGCTCACGGGGCCGCCCTCACTCAGCGCTGGGCCCTGCTTGCAAGGGCAGGCAGCTCAGCACTGCTCGGCGGGTAGCAGGGAAGGAACCAGCGTGTCCCGGGCTCAGCGTACGCCACGGTGCCCCGGTGCCCGGCGCCGGCCGATTCACAGCCAGCCCAAAGCAAGCAGCTTCAGCCGCTCTCCCCCGCCGCTCCTGCAGGGGTTAGCGCAGCCCTTTCGGACACCTTCACTTGCGCTGCAGGCTAAAACGTTCTTAATTTGGGGAGGAAGTCGGAAATTTCTGGGGCACTCAACCACCTTGTGTTAAGCTACCGTAGGCAGGGACGCTTCCTTTCTGAACACAAAAGCCTATTGTCTGAAGGGCAGGTTTTCAATAGCTTCACGCGGGAGAGAGAATGTTTTTAATAAAAGAAATGCTAAAAAACAACAGCACTAACAACCTAAAGGAAACGTAGTCTTAGTCTGCCGGATTAGCAGTGGGTTTCCATGTTAAAGTCAAATCCAGGTGACCACAGCGGGTCTGACGCGTGGTAGAATCTGTGCCTCCAAGATGCTTTTGAAGAACTGCACTTGATATTTGGGCCGATTTTGGCTTTGAACTTCGGCTAGGTTTTTAAGGACACCACATGCTCCAAACTGCTGTGTGTGTTCTGGCCTCAACGTTTTGCTTTTGTTTTGCATTTTCTGTACCAATAGTTTCAACACTTTTGTATCAATCATGAATTGCAGGCTGTGTGGAATTGTTTTTTCCTTACATTCTTGGTATGTAAATAGTTTTCCTCCATGTGTCTTAGGTGAAGTTGTAGTAATGTGGCTACCATATAGAGTGTGACCAAACGATGCTGTAACTGTGCTGCTGTATTTCTACCTGTGATGTACTTGAAGGAGGATGCTCTTGTCCACCTCCACGTTCACTCCTTTTTCCTTTTTTCTTTTTTTCCAATTTTTAAGCTATTGCTGGTGATGTTCTTCCATAGGTACATCATTTTGGTTTGAGTTCTATTATTTTTTTAAAATATAGCTGCCACCTTTTTCTTTCCTTCACTGGACAAGTAACCTTATTTTGAGATCTGTACAACTGTCTAGGTTTTGTATGTCCTGAAGAATGGAAGACCTGCTGGAGGAAGATGTTTTGGACCGATGTACTTATGCTTTGTGACTGTGAAATGTTAATCTTTTTGTAACCTAAGAACAAATAATGTTTAGTAAAGGGATATATTTTATGTTTTTTGAAACTTTTCAGTGCAATGAAAAAAAAAAGAGGAAGATGCTGAAGAAGTGTATGTGCAAAGAAGTTTTAAAATAAAATTTTAAATTATATATATAATGAAAAAATGGTGAAATCTGGTGCATATAATTTTATATATATATATATTTTATATATATATATTTATATATATATTATATATATTTTATATATATATATAATATATATATATATAAAATACATATGTATAATGAAAAACCTAGTGAAAAAAAACTGTTGAAAACCTAAGTGCCAGTGCGTGCCTTGGTGGCAGTGCGGTCGGGCCGGCGAGCGCAGGGTCGCTGCAGCCTCCATGAAGCGCAGCCCGTGGGGCGCCTGAGCACAGCAGGGCCTCCAGGCAGAGCACGCGTGGCCCTGAGCCCCGGGTGCTGCCCTGAGCCCCAGGCACTGTCCTGAGCCCCAGGCACCGTCCTGAGCCCCGGGCACTGCCCTGAGCCCCGGGCGCTGCCCGGAGCCCCGGGCACTGCCCTGAGCCCCGGGTGCTGTCCTGAGCCCTGGGCGCTGTCCTGAGCCTCGGGCGCTGTCCTGAGCCCCGGGCGCTGTCCTGAGCCTCAGGCACTGTCCTGAGCCCCGGGCGCTGTCCCAAGCCCCGGGCGCTGTCCTGAGCCCCGGGCACTGTCCTGAGCCCCGGGCACTGTCCTGAGCCTCAGGCACTGTCCTGAGCCCCGGGCACTGTCCTGAGCCTCGGGCACTGTCCTGAGCCTCGGGCACTGTCCTGAGCCCCGGGCGCTGTCCTGAGCCTCGGGCACTGTCCTGAGCCCCGGGCACTGCCCTGAGCCTCGGGCACTGTCCTGAGCCCCGGGCACTGCCCTGAGCCCCGGGCACTGCCCTGAGCCCCGGGTGCTGCCCTGAGCCCTGGGCACTGTCCTGAGCCCCGGGTGCTGCCCTGAGCCCTGGGCACTGTCCTGAGCCCCGGGCGCTGTCCCGAGCCCCGGGCGCTG